GTCCTGTTTTAGTCCTGGTTCAGTCCTGGTTCAGTCCTTGATCAGTCCTTGATCAGTCCTGGTTTAGTCCTGGTAAAGTCATGGTTTTGTCCTGGTTCAGTCCTTGTTCAGTCCTGGTTCGGTCCTGGTTCGGTCCTGGTTCAGTCCTGGTTCAGTCCTGATTCGGTCCTGGTTTAGTCCTGGTTTAGTCCTGGTTTAGTCCTGGTTTAGTTCTGGTTTAATCCTGGTTCAGTCCTGTATTAGTCCTGGTTTAGTCCTGGTTTAGTCCTCTTTCAGTCCTGCTGTAGATCTCAGTTTTAGTCCTGGTTTAGACCTGGTTTAGATCTCAGTTTTAGTCCTGGTTTAGTCCTCGTCTCCTTCTCTGGCTCTAAGTGGCTTGTATCCCCATGAAAACGATGCTTCTCTCTGATTGGTTGCCTGTTCGCCGAAGATTGGAATCAATTTTCCTTTTATAAATTGTCTGTCTTTCCCAAAATATTCAAGCTCCTGCAGAAAAATCACTAAAATAGTAAACTAGAAATCGCTATTTGCAATATTCGCCAAATTGGCAATCAATAAACTTCCAACTTCTGGAAGCAGACTTATTGGATCAACTTTTTCTTTTCCCTCTTCTACTTTTTAATCATTTACAGTCAAGTGGCTTTTTCTGAATATCCCAAAGCAAACTAAAAAACTGGTGAAAAATGCATGTTTTTCATAAATAATGAATGCGGAAACAAACAGTGTGGCTGATCAGAGCAGAAATAACAGGCAGAAATGTTAATATCCCACATAAATATTCATTAGAGACGGAGCAGAGCCGGCCTCCCACCGGGACGCCGCCGAGGCTCAGACTGGAGAGAAATATACCAGAGACCTGACCAAACTGGGGCTAAACAACAACTGCTTTTATTCAGATATGAGGCTGTTTTTGTACATAAGAATCAGCAGCAAGGAGCTAAAACTAGGACTGAGGCTGTAGAACCAAAACTGAGGCTGTAGATCCAGGACTGAGGCTGTAGATCCAGGACTGAGGCTGTAGATCCAGGACTGAGGCTGTAGATCCAGGACTGAGGCTGTAGATCCAGGACTGAGGCTCTAGATCCAGGACTGAGGCTGTAGACCCAGGACTGAGGCTGTGGATCCAGGACTGAGACTTTAGTCCTGTTTGACTGGAAGAGAGAACATTTTGGTTGCTGCATTTTTATCAATTAGCATTTTCATCATACCCCTGGGTGTGTAACTAATTAACCTAACCCAAAATAATCACTATAACTATTGGTACATTCCCGTTTTCGCACTTCCTCACTTTGTGCTCTGTGTGAAGTATTTGACCAGCAGTGGTGTAGGCCAATTTGGCAGACTTCAAAGCTTTTACATGATAATCATCTCATTTGCTGATTCAAGCCTGTAATAACGCTTACATCACGGGGGTCCGGGGCAGGGCACATGTGAGCGGGGTTCATTACAACAGCCTCAGATCTCTTTAAAACAGACCTGGCAGCAGAAGAGCAGCTCATTGTGCAGTAATGCCTTTGATTTCAGCACCACGGACAGCTCTACACACGCCGCATTAGACTGTCTTTGTATTTGCTCCCACACAGACCCACGGAGAGCGCCAGAACGTTTCTCGCTTTAATGGATTAAACGTGAGGGAAATTATGTTTAACTTCACAACAACAAAGAGATTAGAAGTGACACGTTACTGGTCGTGCTGTAATTTAGGATTGGTGAATTAATTAAGCAACAGTCAGACATCAGTGAAAATTCTCTGCATTTTGGTTTTCACGCCACCGTTTTTTGTTACTTTTGTGTAAACTTTCAGTTAAAAAATGAATGTCTCGCGCTCTTTTTCTGTTCTCTCTCTGGTCTCTGTCTAGTCCCTCTCTGGCCTTTCCCTCTGGTTTCTCTTTCAGGCTTCTCTCTGGTTATCTCTCTCGGGCCTCTCTCTCTGGCCTCTCTCTCTGGTCTTTCTCAGATGTCCGTCTCTGATATTTCTTGCTGACCTCTGTGTCAGGCCTCTCTCTCTGGACTCTCTCTCTCAGGCCCCTCTCTCTGGTCTCACTCTGGTCTCTCTATCTGGTTCCTCTCTCTGGCCTCTCTCTCTGGTCTTTCTCAGATGTCCCTCTCTGATATTTCTTGCTGACCTCTGTGTCAGGCCTCCCTCTCTGGTCTCTCTCTCTCAGGGCCCTCTCTCTGGTCTCACTCTGGTCTCTCTATCTGGTTCCTCTCTCTGGTCTCTCTCTCTGGTCTTTCTCTGGTGTCCCTCTCTGATATTTCTTGCTGACCTCTGTGTCAGGCCTTTGTCTCTGGCCTCTCTCTCTGGTCTCACTCTGGTCTCTCTATCTGGTCCCTCTGGTCTTTCCCTCTGGCCTCTCTCTCAGGCCCCTCTCTCTTGTCTCACTCTGATCTCTCTATCTGGTCCAACTGGTCTTTCTCTCTGGTTCTTTGTTTTTGGTTGTAAACATGACAAAATCTGCACTAGTTAAAGCTATATTAGATTACTTTTGCATGGCACTGTACATATATATACTGTAGCTCAAACCTTAGACCTCAGTGCAGGAGCCTTAGTGTCTATGGGGGGTGAAGATTTCTCCATGTGTCTTAAAGTGAAGTGGAAGCCGAGTCTGGAGTCTTTCTCTCGTGGTTTATTACCCGCTGTAATGTCTCAGAAACAGGACAATGCAGACTGAAAAAGCCAATCACCAGCAGCACAAAAGGCAGAGAGTAGATCCTGAAGTGAATGAGCTCGTCCTGGTCAGCGTTAGAAAGAGGAGGCGACAGACTCCCAGCAACGCAGGCAATCTCCCCCAGACGAGAGATCGATGAAGAGGAGGTGACCAGGAGGGGGGGGAGTAGGGGAGGGTTTAGAGGGAAGCAATGAAAACAATTACTAAGTCCTCTGCTTGTCTTATCAACAAGGCATCAGGGAACGAGGAGAAGGGGGGAGAGGGGGAGAGAGGGAGGAGAGGGGAACGAGGAGAAGGGGAGAGAGGAAGAGCGTGACCGAATGACTAAATAAAATTACCAAGTCTCATCAACAAGACATCAGGGAAATAGAAGGGAGAAGAGGAGGAAACAAAAGGGAGGGAGGAGAGGGAAGGGGAGGGATGAGGGGGGGAGGAGAGGGCAGAGACTTTAGTTTCATTTTGTCTGAGCCTGGACCTGTCCTCAGCTGCTTCTCTTGTCTCCAGACGAACTAAAACTTGTCAACAACAGTCAGAGTGTGTGTGTGTCATCCATCACCCTGAGACAGCCCCCCCTCTCCCCTCCTGTCTCCCCCCCCTCCTGTCTCCCCTCCTGTCTTCCCTGTGATGTCTTGGGGTTTGCCTCTCTCGTCACTCGTCGCCTCTCCCAAACCCTCACCTGTCACTCTCCATCTCTCCCACCACTTCCTGCTCCTCAGACTCCACTCGCTCTGACAGCCAATCACGTCGCTGCTCTGTCAGTCTGCCACAGCCAATCGATAACTACAGCACACGGTTGTTCTTCCCGGTGGGACTTTAGGCTTCCACCAGCACCGACAAACACTTAAAGGGGACATGACGTGGATGTATTTGACTCCCATACTGTGAACTGAACTGGGGTAAACTCGACATACTGCAGATTATAGAGCATTCAAATGAAAACCATGACGAGCCGTGGAGCCGTGTTCGGGTGAGTGAAGCTCTCACAGTCAGAGTTTGGGTTGTTGCATGCACTTTTTAAATATAAACAAGAAAGAGTTCCTTTGTAAACTTCTTGTAAAAAAATACGTTTAAAAAATGTTTATATTTCTCCAAATGGAAGAGGAACTTGCTGTAATGGTGTGATTCTCTCTGGTTTCTCACTTGATATCTGGTCTCTCTTTCTCTCTATTCTGTCTCTGGTCTCTCTCTGGCTTCTCTCTGGTCTCTCTTTCTGGTCTCCCTGTGGTCTCTCTAGTCACTCTCGTGTCTTCCTTTGGTCTTTCTCTGGTCTCTCTCTTCTCTCTCAGGTCTTTCTCACAGATCTCTCTCTTTCTGTGTTCTCTCTCTCTCTGATCTCTCTCTCTATCTGGTTGCACGGCAACTTTAGAAGACTAATTCTGACAGGGAATTTACACAGTAGGCGTGAACAGCGCGTAAGCGTTGACTGGGTGTATGTGCGCGAAACATTATTTGGCTGTATGTACACAGGCCGTGCGCGCAGGTCCGCGTTTTCTGATGCTGTCCCTGTGTAGTCTATGGAGCAGTGTAGAGGACAGTACAGAGGACTGATGTAGAGCAACACAAATCACATGTGTTTGTCTTCATGGTCTCTGTGCGCTGGTTTGGCCAGACACAAGACTTTATGTCCAGAATCACTGTGAAACCTGTGAGCCAAGGGCCGCTAGAAAAATCATGTTTCACATGTGTTTTCAATGGAGGACGCGTTGCTACGCGCACAAAATTAGAAATTCTAAATTAGGCGCAACCTCGCGTCATACGTCCGTCATACTCGTGTATAACACTAGTGTAAATATCCTCATCGGTTAACATGGAAAAACTTTGCGCGTCTGCTGCGCGTATAACGCGTACGTGCTGTAACTCCTCCTGTGTAAATTAGCAGTGAAATCCAGACTTAATTTTGAACCCTTTTCTTTGCTCATCCCTGTTTTCTGACATGCAACACGGGTCCAAACAACACACCAACCTTTGCGTGGACACAGCATTTCAACACAAATCAAAGCACACAGAGACGGATTGTACAGAAACACCACTGTCTGCTGCTGTTCCGCTCACTCTCTCCGTCTTATCTCCTTAATGCCACTTGATAGAAGCGGCCAACCTCGCTTTGAACCTTCCCTTTATCTACAGCGAACGCAAACCCTGAATTATAAATGCAATAAAAGCCAGGGCCATTAATTCATGCAAAGTAAGGAACGGGAGAAGATGGTTGTGTGAGACATCAGACTCTGCTGCTTTCTCCAGTTGAACTACAGCAGAGCCTCGAGACGTATCTGCCATAAAAGCACCAAGACCTTTCATTATGTGTGTTTTTGTTCTTGTGTCTGGTTCCAGTCGGAGAGCAAGAGCCCGAAGAAGAGTCCGGAGCCCAACGTGGACCTGCTGGGACTCGGTAAGAGTGTGAGAAAGCAAAATGGTGCTTCTGGTCTGTTTTTGGCGTCTCTCTGGTCTCTCTCTCTGGTCCCTCTCTGGTCCCTCTCTGGTCTCTCTCTGGCCTCTCTCTAGCCTCTCTCTTGTCTCCCTGTGGTCTCTCTCTGGTCTATCTCTGGTCTCTCTCTTGTCTCCCTCTTGCCTCTCTTTCTCTCTCACACACACACACACACACACTTGTCAGGGTTGCTCAAACCTGCACAAACTGATCTGACGTTTCTCAATTACATTTTAATATTCCACGTCAAACACAGTGACACTATCACACACGTCCTTTTGTTTTCATTTCCTCTGGACACACACACGCACGCACGCACGCATGCACGCAGAAAGACACACACACACACATGCACAAACACAGGACTTTCTGGTTCTGACAGTGGAAGCAGTTCTGTAGTCAGAGCAGAAGCTAACGTCACGTTCAATCTGTTCATTACAAAAACACTGCACTTCTGGGTACTGATGTTATATAGCAGCTGTTTGGATTCACACACACACATATATACACACGCATACACAAATATACGCACACAAACACACAAGACAGAAGAGGGAAACTATTGAGCGCCTGTGAACGTCTTTCTTTTGTCGAGCGGTGAATATCGAAAAGCAATTTGTAAACGTGGCGAAGCAAAGTGAGTGAAATGCCTTGGAGATGAGAACAAAACAGCTCATGGACGTTAGAAGAATTATTATATTATTATTGTTTTAGAAGCATTTAATTCTCAGCTGCAGAAAGTTCAATGCCTTTCAATCTGTTCAATCTGGTTTAGTAATGTTCTAAGCATCCAAGGCAAGTTAATCTGTATAGCACAGTTCCTACACGAGGCAAACCATAGTTCAGAACCAAGGCATTCAAATGAGAAAAGACAAACGCAACTGTTTTAACCTGGATTTTAACACTGTCAGAGAAGAAGCCTGTCTCACATTTTTAGGAAGACTTTCTCTCTGCTCTCTCTCTCTTTGGGCTCTCTCTCTGGTCTCTCTTCCTGTTCTCTCCCTCTCTCTCTCTCTCTCTCACACTGATTTTGTTCTGTTCTCTCTCTCTTTCTGATCTCTCACTCTGCTCTCTCTCTGTCACTGTCGGTCTCTCTCTCACTCTGCTCTCTCTCTGTCACTGTCGGCCTCTCTCTCACTCTGCTCTCTCTCTGTCACTGTCGGTCTCTCTCTCACTCTGCTCTCTCTCTGTCACAGTCGGTCTCTCTCTCACTCTGCTCTCTCTCTGTCACTGTCGGTCTCTCTCTCACTCTGCTCTCTCTCTGTCACAGTCGGTCTCTCTCTCACTCTGCTCTCTCTCTGTCACTGTCGGCCTCTCTCTCACTCTGCTCTCTCTCTGTCACTGTCGGTCTCTCTCTCACTCTGCTCTCTCTCTGTCACTGGTCGGTCTCTCTCTCTGCTCTTTCTCTTCTCTCTATGCGTTCTCTCTCTGCTCTTTCTGCTCTCTTTCTGCTCTCTCTCTGGTTTCTGGTCCATCTATTTCTTCTCTCTCTCTCTCTGCTCTCTCTCTTTCCCTGGTCACTCTCTCTCTCTCTGCTCTCTCTCTGCTCTTTCTCTTCTCTCTAAGCTTTCTCTCTTTGCTCTTTCTGCTCTCTCTCTGGTCTCTCTCTCTATTCTCTCTCTCTCTGCTCTCTCTCTGTCCCTGGTCACTCTCTCTCTCTGGTCTCTCTCTCTCTTCTCTCTATGCGTTCTCTCTCTGCTCTTTCTGCTCTTTCTGCTCTCTCTCTGCTCTCTCTCTCTCATCTCTCTCTCTGCTCTCTCTATCTTCTCTCTTTCTGCTTGCTCTCTCTCTCTCATCTCTCTTTCTCTCTCATCTCTCTCTCTCTCTGCTCTCCCTCTCATCTCTCTCTCTCTCTTTTCTCCCTGCTCTCTCTCTCTCTCTCACCTCTATCTCTCTCTCTATCTTTTCTCTTTCTGCTCGCTCTCTCTCTCTCTGCTCACTCTCTCTCTCTCTCTGCTCTCTCTCTCTCATCTCCCTCTCTCTCGCTCTCTCTCTGCTCTCGCTCTCTCTTTTCTCCCTGCTCTCTTTCTCTCTTTCGTTGGTTCGTCTAAGTGGCCTCCTCTTCCTCTGTGCGGTGGTTAATGGCTGCGGTTCACACACGTCGTCCTGAACCTGACATTCTCTCTCACCGCGCTCTTACACTGGCCTTTCAGATTTCAGAGCTGCCGTTTCCCATCCGCCCGCGGGCCCCGAACGCACCGCTGTGGTTGACCCTCGCGTGCGCCCGGTCCGGAGGCTGCCAGTCAAACTCCTGCTGCATTATGCAAAACTGACATTTCTGGGCTTTTAATACTGTTCCAACATTTCTCTCTCTCTCTCTCTCTCTCTCTCTCTCTCTCTCTCTCTCTCTCTCTCTCTCTCTCTCTCTCTCTCTCTCTCTCTCTCTCTCTCTCTCTCTCTCTCTCTCTCTCTCTCTCTCTCTCTCTCTGACAGCTGTGTCTGTTCTCTGGTTCCATCCCCTGTTTCTGACGTCTATGACATTTACATCTACGTTTCTACTGTGAGAAACACATAAAAGACATCATGACATCACCTTGAACATGTATCTTTTAATCACATAGAGCGATCCTCGTTTCTGTCCCACGCCCAGTTTGTTGCAGTTATTGAAATATATCTTTTTGCATAATGTATAATCTATCCATCCATTTTCTACCCCGTAATCCATTTCTGCGTCGGGGGGTGGCCAGAGATGCCACCCAGTACACATAGCACCAGCCCATAATGTATAATCTATAATAAGAGATTGGTTATAGCGACAATTTATCTCCAACCTTTAGGCTGTCCCTGTAATTCTTCCATTCTCAAAGCCTTTTTATCTTGTATTTATTTGTGAGCTACATAGTACTGAAGAATTATGAGGTACAAACATTCATAGTTAATATATTTATTTTATTGCCGCTTGAGTTAAGATTTGACGCATTGTACAGTTTAGCGTGGAGTGAGCCCGTTATAGACCTACAGTATGGTCTGATTATTCACATGTTTTCAAAACTTTGAACATCTCACAGAGCACACTGGTCAATCAAAGCCTCTGACCAAACACCATCAATTCACTCACTCATTACATTCAGACCTTACATGTTTTTAGTGGTAGAGGAAACCGGAGCACCCGGAGGAAACCCACGCAGTCCACTTAGAAAGAATTAGAACCCAGGGCCTTATTGCTGAGAAGTGATAGCCCAAATCTACCAAGACTCGGCTGTCTGCCCAAACTGGACATCACTTATCACAGATGCAGACACGAGGCCCATGGTTACTGTGGAGGAGCTGCAGACGTCGACAGCTCTCATGGGGATCTCTGATTTCTACAGTTTACTTTGACTAGTTTCAGTTCTTTTATCTCGGTCGTCTTGCTGCTGTCCGTCTGGATCCAGAGCACACGTGTTGCACAAAGCTCCAGAGCCTCAGATCTGTCAGAAATCCTCCTAGTCTCGGTTTGTGGGCCGCGGCAGTGGGCTGTGACAGTGGACTCCTCAGAGATGGAGAGGAGCGTGTGATAAATAAAACATGAAGTGTGAAGCCGGTGCAGGGTAGCTGGGATTTCACTGCGATCAATGATGTCTCAGGTCAGACTGGAGACTGGAGACTGGGGACTGGAGACTGGGGACTGGAGACTGGGGACTGGAGACTGGGGACTGGAGACTGGGGACTGGGGACTGGAGACTGGGGACTGGAGACTGGGGACTGGGGACTGGGGACTGGAGACTGGAGACTGGAGACTGGAGACTGGGGACTGGAGACTGGACATGGTCTGAGAGTGGAAAGGACACCGACTCTCTCTCTCTCTCTCTGTCTCTCTCTCTATTCAGTGTCTGCATGGAACCACAGGCAAAACCAGCGAGAAAGACTAGAGACCAGAGAGAAACCAGAGAGAAAGACTAGAGACCAGAGAGAAACCAGAGAGAAAGACTAGAGACCAGAGAGAAACCAGAGCGTCCGTCTCGTGTGGACATGGCCTGAGAGTGGAAAGGACACCGACTCATTTGAAAGCAGCGGCTATAAAACCTCTTGACCTGTTTCTGCCCTAATCACAAGAGCTCGGCTTTTGCTTTGCAGCGGTGGGCCTCTGAAGGGCCTCTCCAGCTTTTATATCCAATCACAATGCCATGGGAACAGTTCTGAGAGGAGACAGCAGCTCTCAGTTTGCAGTGAAAAAGCCTTGTTTCTGTTCATTCATCAAATTTCCTGCGTCCAGAGCAGGTAAGAAGAGGAGCATTCCCAATTGGGCTGGAGATCGACCGAGAGCTCTGTGAGTCACATTTTGACGCTTTGGGCTGGGAGCTGATTGGCTGAGTGAGGGTGGTTCTCTCTTTTTTTTTTTTTACTTACTTGTGTGAAAAAGATCAACTAAAGATGTGAAAGAGAAAATAAAAAAATACTGATGGAAGCAACTGTTTTGAGAGAAAATGACAGAAGAAAAGTTTTGTGGCAGTATGTAGTCTCTCTCTCTCTCTCTGGTGTCCCTTTGGTCTCTCTCTGGTCTCTCTCTAGTCCTTCTCTCTGTAGTCTCTCTCTGGTCTCTCTCTGTAGTCTCTCTCTCTGGTCTCCCTCTGGTCTCTCTCTGGTCTCTCTGGTCTCCCTCTGGTCTCTCTCTGGTCTCTCTGGTCTCCCTCTGGTCTCTCTCTCTGGTCTTCTCTGGTTTCTCTCTGGTCTCTCTCTATTCTCTCTCTCTAGTCTCTCTCTGGTCTCTCTCTGTTCTCTCTCTCTGGTTTCTCTCTGGTCTCTCTCTATTCTCTCTCTCTAGTCTCTCTCTAGTCCTTCTCTCCGGTTTCGCTCTGGTCTCTCTCTGGTCTCTTTCTAGTCTCTCTCTCTGGTCTCTCTCTAGTCGCTCTCTCTGGTCTCTCTCTAGTCCTTCTCTCTGTAGTCTCTCTCTCTGGTCTCTCTCTGGTCTCTTTCTAGTCCTTCTCTCTGGTCTCTCTCTCTGGTCTCTCTCTGGTCTCTCTCTCTGGTCTCTCTCTCTGGTCTGTTTCTGCAGTCTCTCTCTCTGGTCCCTCTCTCTTGTTTCTCTCTCTAGTCTCTCTCACTTCAGCAGGTGTACATTCAGGTGGTCAGAAAAGTGAATAAGTTACAGCTGCTTCTTTAACTCAAACTAATTCTGTTTTTTTTTCCTTTTTTTTTAAGAACACATCACCCCTGTGTTAAACCAGGGGCCACATTGTTTTGTTTTGGTTAGCACATAGCATGCTAACTAACACACCTCTCTAGATCTCGTCCTTGTCTCTTTTATCAAAACAACGCATACTTTTTATTCAGAGCAGAATCTCGTACAGTATGAAAGTCATTTTGTCCTTGGTTCAAAGAGAGAAACTTCGGCTCCGCGACTTCTCTCCGGTGAAGCCCTCTGTATTCTCGGAACGCTCTGCCATTCCAGGAAACACAATACCGTATCCAAGTCTTTTATGTGACTTTCATATAATCGCGTTCCCATGACAACCTGCTTCACCGCTCCAGACCTGAAAATTACGACGCATTTTGAGCCATTACGGGTCAGCACAGAGAACGCCGGGCGGCCATTTTGTGTCATTTTCACAGCTTCCTTCACATAATGACCGTGGATGAGTGGAGCGCAGAGGAGATGCACCGAGCACTGAGCAAACCGCAGGAGGAAGTCACTAAATAATAACGAAGAGTTGGAGGCGGAAAAAATGGCTTTGTTTGTTCTGAGGAAAAATTGTCACTTCATGAATACAGTCTAATGAACTAATAACAGTGCTGCTAAATACAGTCTCGCATGATAAAAACTGAATTACTGCTCCTCAAAAACAAACCGGCAGTTGTATGTTTTGTCTCTGTGTTATGTTGTTAATGTTAAACTATTTTTTACCTTTTTTAACAATAAATCTTAATCTTAGTCTCAGGCTCAGGTTCAGTTGGTCCATATTTGCTTATTAACAAAAGTGTCTGCTCTAAAAGGATGCTCTTTACAAAATTGTGCCTTCAGTTAGAAATGTGCGCCGTGGTCCAAAGTACCAATAGACCAGGCTAAGTATGTCAGTAAGTCAAGTTTATTTGTATTGCGCATACAATGAATTTCAGGCCAATGTTTCTTCTGCATGAATGGTGCTTTCTAAATACATTTACTTTGCCTTTTCCGTCTCTGTGACAGTTTTACAAAAGCAAGTATTTCCAGTAAAGCTCCCAACTCTTCAATCTTCAAAGTGCCGCACCTCGACTCGGTGAAAAGCAGATGAAAATAAGAACATATTCACATTAGTGACACTTCATGGTCCAACTGTGCCTCCCATTATCGTGCAGTCTCCCCCCCGCTGAGGTGCTCTATCTGGGGGAGACCAGGAGGGGGAGGGGGAGGTGACAGTAAGAACAGAACATATTATTACAAAGCTCTTCACAAAAGCTAATTTATCCACGTTTAGTTTAGTTCATTACAGTGAGTCCCACATGCCTCTCGCCGCAGCTGTACACACACACCTGTAGCTGTACACACACACCTGTAGCTGTATACACACACCTGCAGCTGTATACACACACCTGTAGCTGTATACACACACCTGTAGCTGTATACACACACCTGCAGCTGTACACACACACCTACAGCTGTATACACACACCTACAGCTGTATATACACACCTGCAGCTGTACACACCTACAGCTGTATACACACACCTGCAGCTGTATGCACACACCTGTAGCTGTATGCACACACCTGTAGCTGTATACACACCTGCAGCTGTATACACACACCTGCAGCAGTATACACACACCTGCAGCTGTATACACACCTACAGCTGTACACACACCTGCAGCAGTATACACACACCTACAGCTGTACACGCACACCTGCAGCTGTATACACACACTTGCAGCTGTATACACACCTGGAGAGCACACCCTGCTGCTGTATACACACCTGAAGCTGTATACACACCTACAGATGTATACACACCTGCGGCTGTATACACACGTGCAGCAGTATTTACACGCCTGCAGCTGTATACACACTTGCAGCAGTATACACACACCTACAGCTGTATACACATATCTACAGCTGTATACACACACCTACAGCTGTATACACATATCTACAGCTGTATACACACACCTACAGCTGTATACACATATCTACAGCTGTATACACACTTGCAGCAGTATACACACACCTGCAGCTGTATACACACCTGCAGAGCGCACCCTGCTGCTGCTGAACTGTGGGGTAGAGGATGCACAACAGTCAGGTGATGTGTCCTGAGTTTGGCCCTGCCTGCTGCAAGGACAGAACCATAAACTGTAAATATTCACGGCCGTAGTGACGCCTATTTCATCCGTTGAAATGTATGTGTGATCAATATGTGCCTTTTCAAAATGGCTGGGAGTAGCCCCTCCCACAGTGAAAAAAACGCTTTTGTGCACAAATTAGCTGCACAAGTCGCGTGTGGGGCAGAGGTTGTATCTTTTGAACCTGACACATGGTCCACAGCAGATAAACAGAACCCTCCGCTCAGCATCGACAGCATCTGGGACGTAGCATTTGGCCAACTTTTGAACCAGTCTCGAAAGCGGTTTTTGAGAAGAAAGAAGGCGTCCTAAGAGTTCATTGGATAATTCTGCTTCCTGTACACCACCACCACCACCGTAAAGGGGTCAGACTACAAACATGTCGGTGCACGTGGTCATGGACCCCTTTGACCCAGGACCCGCCCCCACTGGACAGAACGGTGGCAGTAGACCTCCTCAGGACACTTTCACAGCCTTTCGTTCAGATTTAGCTCGTTCTAATTCAACGCTACATTTCTCAGTGTAATTAACGATAATAACCGCTGATCTCTCCCTCCTCTCTGCACTAATTACTCAAACAATTAACAAAAATAATGAGATTTTCGTGGTCGGAGCTCGTTATGAAGACACTGACGTTCAAGGAAATTCATGTTCAGACTGATTCAGGGTTTAATTTAAAACTAAATTTAACACTAATTAAAATTATTAACAGTTAGGGATAGTATTGGCATTGGTGGGATTTGACTGACAGAAGGACCTAGCTTCGGATGGGAGCTTGTGGGAATGAAAACATGGATGAATAGTATGATTGTGTAAAATAGTAAATCATGTTGCAAAAAATGTTGTCATAAAAGACAAAATAATGAATAAATCTTTGTAAGAGGATTAGGGAACTGTTGTGGAAAGAGTAAGAGTATAAACAGAAGTACCAACCTCTGACCAACTCTTTCACTCAGACACATAAAGGTCTCTATAAAACCGACAACAAAATACAGACACTCAGCACCATGGGAGGAGACCAGGGGAAGGACTGTGTCTCTCTCTGGCCTGGGAACACCTCAGGATTCCCCCAGATGAGCTGGAGAGAGTGTGTGTGGAGAGGGAAGTCTGGGCTTCTCTGCTCAGACTGCTGCCCCGCGACACAGCAACGGATAAAGCAGAAGAAAATGGATGAATGGATTAATTATTTTATATTTTTATGAACAATGAGTCAAGCTGCTTGGATTGAAAGGCAATGCGAATTTGTTTTGTTGACTGGGTTTAATAAAGTTTACTTTGAATTCTCGCGTATTGCATTCAGGGCTCAACGTTAATGATAAAATAAATGGTGTTGTTGTTTTCTTGATAAAATTTGCTTAAAACAATGTATATCAAACCATATTTGCATGCTACAGTAATTTTAGGGAATGACCAGAGGATATGAACATAGACTGGTAAAGAGCTCTGACCTCAGACGCTGCTCCCTCTTCACCCTCTGGTCTCTGCAGATTCTGGTTCAGACTTGACTTTAAGCATTGTTCGTTTGTTTGTTTGTGTTCCAGACGCTCCAGACAGCGGCAGTGGGCGGGGCTCCAGTCCGGCCGAACCAATCAGCAACGAGGTGGATCTGTTTGGACCAATGGTGTCCAACCCTCTGCCCTCATCCACGCAGGCAGCACAGGTCAGCACACATTTACTGCACATTTAAAGCTGCAGTGATTTTCAAACTGGCACAAAAAAACAAAGCAAATTCCACCCTCCCCCTGGTGGCAGCAGAGGGAGTTACAGGCGGAAAACATTTGTTACTCCTCATACTTGTTTCACCCAAAACTGAAGACAATATTTCACGTTTTTTTTTAACGGCAAGCTTATTTGTATAGCACAGTTCATAGGAAAACTCAAAGTGCTTCAATAACACACATTAAAATGATGAATAATCTCAGTGCATTAGAAAGAGTAAAGATACAGTTGTTGCAGCTAAACCAGGGATTAAAGAGTTCCGTCTAGGTGACGGATTTCCGTCAAATGAAATTGGTCTGGAAAAAAAAAAATATATATATATTATAATGATAATAATACACACAATGAAATGATTGATTATAAAAATAATATATAGTAATTGGGGCTGGGACAACGCGTCGACGTAATCGGTGACGTCGACGCAAAAAATACACCGACGTATAATATGCGCGTCGGTGCGTCACACACAAAACAAAGATGGCGGCGAGCGGTAGCAATGCGAGTGCCGTGTTAGAGAAGTGCAAGCCGGTGTAACGCTGAGATACACTGCCTTGAAGAGATGCACAGCCTCAGCTGTTTATGATGTAATGCAAACCTGTGCATGCGCGTCTCACGGCAGCCGAAGCAAACCAAGATGGCGGACCGTGAATTTCTTTAAAAGTTAAAATACGAACGAATTAAGACACGAATGTCACTTTTAATGCAATTTGAGGCGAGATGTTGATGGTTCCGTTTTGTCACATGTGGGTTTTAAGAGTCAAAGTTGCAAAGTGCAAAGTTTAGTTTAAGCAGTCAACTGCGCCTGTGAAACCACAAAGCTAATGTTTTCATAGCAGTCCGCAGCTGCTGACGTAGGCTGATGACGCGTCCTGTGGCCACTCTACACTCTTACACTGGTCTGTCTTTCTTTGTATCAAACGGAATATTGGCGCCCGTAATAGCCCTACATGTATTATTCACTCATGCCCGCCGTATATGGACATTTTTCAACATGTGTTCAATATCCTTAATGTGTTTAACTGTTGATTGATTCTCTGATCTGTGTTGGTGACTTCAATGTTGTTTTAAGTCCTCTGAGATGACTTCTACTGTATTCTTTCAGTAACTCTAAAAGAAAGGATGACTGGTTGACCTTTTTATTTGCTACACAATGCATTGTTTTTCTCTTGTACACTCTTACTTGAATTTTATTTTTGAATTTTGAGTTTAAGAAAAAGGTGAGTGGCAGAATTTTGACTGTTATTTTTATATGAATGAAGAATTTAAGAGATGCACTTTAATTAATGGACTTCAGTAATATAGGCCTATGTGTCTTCAACTTAAATGTTAAACTCTGTTGGTTCAGGAAGGACGCCATGACAGGCTGATGGCTCCCACTGTTTTTGGTGGAAAAGCACTCTTTGTTTAGCTTAAAGCCTTCAAGTTTACATTGGTTACTGTTTTCTTTTAGTTGCTCTACACAAGTATTTGGCTGAACTTTTTCATATTTTTATTGAATGCTAAGCATCAAATGTATGTTTCAAGAATGATAAGATGCACTTTTTTCAGTAAGCTGTGTTTTCAAGGCTTTAAGGTTTTATGCTACCTCTAAGAATGTCTTATTTTTGAATTTTAAGAGCAAGCAATACATATTTTTTGTAAAGGAATTCATGTTTTTTTCATTAAAATATTTAAATCAACATGTATACATCAATATTAGTCAATTAATGGGGAGATAATCGAGAATCGAATCGAATCGAAATCGAATCGAAGCGAAAAAAATAATTGTTAGATTAATCGATGCATCAAAAAAATAATCGCTAGATTAATCGTTTAAAAAATAATCGTTTATCCCAGCCCTAATAGTAATACATATACTTGTGAATCTTTTATATATATATATATATATATATATATATCGATGTATAATAATAATTTGAATATAATTGTATTTATATGTATATAGAAATAATAAGTAATATAATCACGAGTGGGCCTTGAACGTGCCGTGGCCACATGAGCGCTCCGCAAATGAATCAAGGCAATGGGACGTAGCTGAGCTCACGCGCAAATGAAGACGCGATGAAGTTAGCATTGGTAACACGGAGGTGAAAGTTTCTGGAAACTGCACGGAGCTTTTGAAAAGGAGAAGAGGAGGAAAATTGAATCTCGAACGGAGCAATAACAGCAGCAGATCCGCGGACTGGTAAGCTGGGCGCGTAATAGACGAAAGGTAATTAACGTTTACCAAACGCAATGCTATTTTACTTAACGGAATGTACAAAACGGACGTCGCTGCAACTGGGAATGGGGACAAACATGTCTTGGTGAGCTTTTGATATTGTTTTGTTTGCGATCTTCTTGCAAAACTCAGCGTGATGTAAAAGAGCCAATCAATGAGTCATGGTGCGAAAAGATGAAAGTGGCCGGTGCTTGTGCGTACTTTGCCATAAAAAATTGCATGTATGGGAGTAATGAGAAAAAAGTTTTGATTCGCCACCAGCTCAAAATTGCGCACAAGGCAGCTGTTTGTGCACTTTCCCACACTTCATCTTTACCTGGTGCATCAGCAACAACTAGCTAACACTAGGCTTGCTATGGCGGACCGTGTCTGTGGCTTTATCGCAGAAAATAACGTTCAGAATATCACTACCGCTGGTAGATTTATTTAAATCATTTGCAGTTGATCGAAGTGCACTGTGCACTCAAACTTGATAGGGAAACCTTTTTCTTAAATATTGACGTGTCCACAAACAAATGTGGACAGAATTTTATCGTCCTTTTGCAATATTTTGACGAAGACAGAGCCAAAGTGTTGACGCTCCATATCGCCTCAAGTAAAGCTACTCTCACTAATATTCTGTAAAAAAGTTGTCTCGTTGCTTGATCCACTTATATTTCATATCAAAATACACTGTATATCTTTGAAGAATTCATTTGAGCTGTATTCAATATACAATCTATTATACAATAATATATTGTAATTACAAATATAACTTCGTCCTTCATATTACTGTGATTTACATGTGATAAATTTCCATGCAAACATTTTCAGTCAAATCTTTTTTTTTTTGCTTTAACCCCTGAGCTAAACAGATCTGTTTTTAATCTGGATTTGAATATTATCAGAGAAGAAGCCTGTCTCACATTTTTAGGAAGATTTTTCCAGATTTTAGCTGCATGAATCTGAATTGCAGCCTTCTCATGTTTATTCCTGATTCTGGGACTAGGAGGAGGTCAGTCCCTGTGCTCCTCAGAGTTGGTTCATATGGCACTAACATGCCACAGAGACCATGGAGGGACTTGTAACAATCAGAGCTCTCTCTGTTCTCTGAGCCACAGGTGCAGAGACCTGAGACCAGGACTAATGCGATGGTACTTCCTGGTTCTAGTCTGAACTCCAGCTGTAGGATTTGTGTGTTTGTAGTAACACATGGAAGAGAGAGTCAGGCACTGTCCCCGTTTAAATAAATATTAAATGAAATGACCAATTCTAAACAAATATGAGGTTTGAATGGGATAAAAGCAAAGTGGTTCTTTTATGTCTGAGAGCTGCTGTTGTTCAATTACTGCTCAAAGGTTTGGTGAACGATGGAATCTGTCATCAGCTCATGGACCTGCTGTTCAGACTACTGCTGCCATATGTTCTAGTTGTTTGTAGTCTACTCCTCTCCTGCTCCTTCTCTCTCCTCTCCTCCTCTCTGCTCTCTTCTCTCCTCCTTTCTCCTCTCCTCCTCTCTCCTCTACTCCTCTGTCCTCTCATTATCTCTCCTCTCCTCCTCTCTGCTCTCCTCTCCTCCTTTCTCCTCTCCTCCTCTCTCCTCTACTCCTCTGTCCTCTACTCCTCTGTCCTCTACCCCTCTCTCCTCTTCTCCTCTGTCCTTTCCTCTCCTCCTCTGTCTTCTACCACTCTCCTCATCTGTCGTCTCTCCTCTCATCCTTCCTCATCTCCTCCTCTCTCCTCTACTCCTCTCCTCCTCTCTCCTGTCCTCCTCTCTCCTCTCTTCCTCTATCCTCTCTCCACCTCTCTCCTCTCCTTCTCTCTCCTCTCCTCCTCTGTCCTTTCCTCCTCTCCATCCTTTCCTCCTCTCTCCTCTCCTCCTCTCTCCTCCCCTCCTCTCCTCCTCTGTCCTCTCTCCTCTACCCCTCTCCTCCTCTTTCCCCTCCTCCTCTCTCCTCTCCTCCTCTATCCTCTCTCCACCTCTCTCCTCTCCTTCTCTCTCCTCTCCTCTCCTCCTCTGTCCTTTCCTCCTCTCCATCCTTTCCTCCTCTCTCCTCGCCTCCTCTCCTCCTCTGTCCTCTCTCCTCTCCTCCTTCCTCCTCTCCTCTCTCCTCTACCCCTCTCCTCCTCTCTCCTCTCTTCCTCTATCCTCTCTCCACCTATCTCCTCTTCTTCACTCTACTCTCCTCTCCTCCTCTGTCCTTTCCTCCTCTCCATCCTTTCCTCCTCTCCTTCTCTCTCCTCTCTCCTCCTTTCTCCTCTCCTCCTCTCTCCTCTCCTCTCCTCCTCTGTCCTTTCCTCCTCTCTCCTCTTCTCCTCTCTCCTCTCCTCCTCTGTCCTCCTCTCTCCTCTCCTTCTCTCTCCTCTCCTCTCCTCCTCTGTCCTTTCCTCCTCTCCATCCTTTCCTCCTCTCCTTCTCTCTCCTCTCTCCTCCTTTCTCCTCTCCTTCTCTCTCCTCTCCTCTCCTCCTCTGTCCTTTCCTCCTCTCCTCCTCTCTCCTCTCCTCCTCTCCTCCTCTGTCCTCCTCTCCTCCTCTGTCCTTGTTGTCTCATTAGAATGGTGTATTGACACAGAGGACACACAGAGGCTTTGATCATGCTGTTATCGGCTGCTGCAGACAGGGCTGGGGCCCGCCGGGACCTCGCTGGTATAATACTGCCACTGATTCTCCGAGGGATCATTCAAAAAACAGCCATAGAGCTAATAGCGCGCGGCTTTGTGAGGGAAAATGAATCAAAGTCCTTCAACACAAAGACCGAAGAGGGGCCATTGGACACGAACCAGACTGATGGAATATTAATGTTAGTGAGAGAGAGAGAACAGAGAGAAGTCTGTTCTAGACTTTAAGCATTTGTTTAGTCTTTACATCCAACCTATGGACTGAACACAGGCGGACAATGCTAACCGCTCAATGTAGCCCAATAGGTTTTCTCCAACTCGCTCCTATTGACTTACTCCTTGAGCTCAGGAACCGTTTTCATACTCACCATTTCGTGAATTGGAATCAGAGGCTAGCCTTAGTTCCAGGACTGAGGCTGTGGATCCAGGATTGAGGCTGTGGATCCAGGACTGAGGCTGTAGATCCAGGACTGAGGCTTCAGATCCTGGTCTGAGGCTGTGGATGCAGGACTGAGGCTGTAGATCCAGGACTGAGGCTGTAGACCCAGGACTGAGGCTGTAGACCCAGGACTGAGGCTCTAGATCCAGGACTGAGGCTGTAGATCCAGGACTGAGGCTGTAGACCCAGGACTGAGGCTGTAGATCCTGGTCAGAGGCTGTAGATCCAGGACTGAAGCTGTAGACCCAGGACTGAGTCTTGAATGTAGAGACTGTGTCAGCGTGTTTGCACAATACATTTTTTTTTACATATATCAATATAAAAGACAAATAAACTTGTACCTGGTTTGAAAAGGGGTTGGATGAAGCAAACGCTTTTTTGATTCCAAACCCCATCACACAAACAATGCAGTAGAATTATCAAACATACAACTGTACAGTAAAAAACATGATTACGATACTACCACCGATGGTATAAGACAGACAACACAAAACACACAAACTCTGACAACACACTGGCCCAAACACTCTCTGACCCGACCACTAACACATGTACAATAGTTCCCCTCTCTCTGACATCTCAGTGGGCCCTATGGTTAAGTTAAGGTCAGTTAAAACATATTTGTAAATGGTGATGTTTGATTATGATGACGATGAAGACGATGATGATGATGATGTGTTGTGGGTCAGACTGATGCTTCCGTGTCACTGTGACCCTCCGGTGTCTCTCTTTTAGTTCTCCGAGTTCTGAAGGAAATACTTTCTCTAGTTATTTTTCTCTCCTCATATATCTGTGTAATAACCATAGACTGTGGACAGAGGCGCCGTATTAGTGGACGTCAATCTAAAATTAAAGCTGGGGTACGTAACTTTCACACCACAGACATCCTTCTAACTAGTTCCTGGCTCTAAAACAGTTGCTACTTTCACTAGTTTTCATGTATTTGTGTCCTCCAACACATCTATAGACTTTATTTTCACAGTATCATTCATCTCCAACAATATAGTCTACTATGTTGGTGTAGGGCTCAGAACCTCTGAATCCAGTCGCTAACTTTTTTTGTATAAACTACCTTTTATTTTGAATCATGCCAAATATATTCCATATGTGTTACTTATGTAGCTGTGGAGCTGTGGATATGGACACATCATAGCAGCAGCAGTGGTAGCGGCAGTAGCTGTAGCGGTAGCAGTATAGGAGCAGTAGCAGTGGCATTAGTAGTGTTAATAGTAGCGGTAGTTGTAGTAGCATTGTAAAGTGCTTTCAGTGGCCTTGGTCAGAGAAATGTGCTATATAAATAAAGATTGCTTACTTACTTAGTGACCAGTAGCCCTAGTAATAGTAGTAGTAGCAATAGCTGTAGTACCAGTAGCGGTAGCAGCAGTAGCAGTAGCAGTTGTAGTAGTAGTAGCAGTAGTCGTAGTAGCTGTTGCACTGGTAGCAGTCGTAGTGGTAGCAGCACTAGCACCAGTTGCAGTAGCAGTAGTAGCAGTAGTAGCAGAAGCAGTAGTAGCAGTAGAGTTAGTAGTAGTAGCAGTAGCACCAGTAGTAGAAGGAGTAGCAGCAGTAGCAGTAGTAGCAGCAGTAGCACCAGTAGCAGTAGAGTTAGTAGTAGTAGCGGTAGCAGTAGTAGAAGGAGTAGAAGGAGTAGCAGCAGTAGCGGTAGTAGCACTTTAGCAGCTATGGTAACATTGTAGTAATACCCCATTATAAATCTCAGAACGACCTGAATTCAGTCAATTATTTATCTGGGTTGTCAGCCCCTGGACCAGTCTGCTCAACTAACATCTCCCTCTTACTAAAATGTTTGTCCCCCCCTGGTCTGTGCTGGCCCCCCCTGGTCTGTGCTGGCCCCCACTGGTCTGTGCTGGCCCCCACTTGTCTGTGCTGGCCCCCTCTGGTCTACAATGCCTCCTGATTCTGGGCCTCGATATCCCACAATAACACAGCTTTTCATTTCCACTGCACCATCTCTTCTGCAGCGGACAATAACCCTATTTAGTTTTCAATATCGGAGGAAGCCGTGGGTAATATGTATTCATTGGGAACGGAGAGAGAGAGAGCAGAGCAGAGCCTCCGTGATTAAATGCAAATGATTGAGAAAAGACAGAGGAGAGCGAGCTAATAGAGGAGCGATGGAGACTCCCCACGGCGAGCCCTGCCTCCGAGGACATGTTTTCATTCTGCGGGTAAACAAAACTAAAGGGAAAGAGGAAAAGGTTGTGGATGTGGGAAAACCAGTGAGGATCCTGGGAGATGAGAGGCGTAGAGAAGCCGGTGTACCGTAACTTTAAAACCACACTGAACTGGAACTACTGTATGTAACGAGGTCTGTCTGTATCTATCGTCTCTCGCTCTATCAATCAGTCTGTGTCTATAGTTTCCACACGCATGTACTTTTGGTCTCTCTGGCCTCTCTCTGGTCTCTCTCTGGTTTTTTACTCTGGTCTCTCTCTCTGTGTTATCTGGTCTCTTTCTTTCCCTCTGGTCTCTCTCTCTATCTGGTCTTTCACTCTAGTCTCTCTTTCTGGTCCCTCTCCCTGGTCTATATCTGGTCTCTCTCTTTCACTCTAGTCTCTCTCTCTGGTCCCTCTCCCTGGTCTATATCTGGTCTCTCTCTTTCACTCTGGTCTCTCTCTCTGGTCCCTCTCCCTGGTCTATATCTGGTCTCTCTCTTTCACTCTAGTCTCTCTCTCTGGTCCCTCTCCCTGGTCTATATCTATAGCTCTGGTCCCTCTCCCTGGTCTATATCTGGTCTCTCTCTTTCACTCTGGTCTCTCTCTCTGGTCCCTCTCCCTGGTCTATATCTGGTCTCTCTCTTTCACTCTGGTCTCTCTCTCTGGTCCCTCTCCCTGGTCTATATCTGGTCTCTCTCTTTCACTCTAGTCTCTCTCTCTGGTCCCTCTCCCTGGTCTATATCTGGTCTCTCTCTTTCACTCTGGTCTCTCTCTCTGGTCCCTCTCCCTGGTCTATATCTGGTCTCTCTCTTTCACTCTGGTCTCTCTCTCTGGTCCCTCTCCCTGGTCTATATCTGGTCTCTCTCTTTCACTCTGGTCTCTCTCTCTGGTCCCTCTCCCTGGTCTATATCTGGTCTCTCTCTTTCACTCTGGTCTCTCTCTCTGGTCCCTCTCCCTGGTCTATATCTGGTCTCTCTCTTTCACTCTGGTCTCTCTCTCTGGTCCCTCTCCCTGGTCTATATCTGGTCTCTCTCTTTCACTCTAGTCTCTCTCTCTGGTCCCTCTCCCTGGTCTATATCTGGTCTCTCTCTTTCACTCTAGTCTCTCTCTCTGGTCCCTCTCCCTGGTCTATATCTGGTCTCTCTCTTTCACTCTAGTCTCTCTCTCTGGTCCCTCTCCCTGGTCTATATCTGGTCTCTCTCTTTCACTCTAGTCTCTCTCTCTGGTCCCTCTCCCTGGTCTATATCTGGTCTCTCTCTTTCACTCTAGTCTCTCTCTCTGGTCCCTCTCCCTGGTCTATATCTGGTCTCTCTCTTTCACTCTAGTCTCTCTCTCTGGTCCCTCTCCCTGGTCTATATCTGGTCTCTCTCTTTCACTCTAGTCTCTCTCTCTGGTCCCTCTCCCTGGTCTATATCTGGTCTCTCTCTTTCACTCTAGTCTCTCTCTCTGGTCCCTCTCCCTGGTCTATATCTGGTCTCTCTCTTTCACTCTAGTCTCTCTCTCTGGTCCCTCTCCCTGGTCTATATCTGGTCTCTCTCTTTCACTCTAGTCTCTCTCTCTGGTCCCTCTCCCTGGTCTATATCTGGTCTCTCTCTTTCACTCTAGTCTCTCTCTCTGGTCCCTCTCCCTGGTCTATATCTGGTCTCTCTCTTTCACTCTAGTCTCTCTCTCTGGTCCCTCTCCCTGGTCTATATCTGGTCTCTCTCTTTCACTCTAGTCTCTCTCTCTGGTCCCTCTCCCTGGTCTATATCTGGTCTCTCTCTTTCACTCTAGTCTCTCTCTCTGGTCCCTCTCCCTGGTCTATATCTGGTCTCTCTCTTTCACTCTAGTCTCTCTCTCTGGTCCCTCGCCCTGGTCTATATCTGGTCTCTCTCTTTCACTCTAGTCTCTCTCTCTGGTCCCTCTCCCTGGTCTATATCTGGTCTCTCTCTTTCACTCTAGTCTCTCTCTCTGGTCCCTCTCCCTGGTCTATATCTGGTCTCTCTCTTTCACTCTAGTCTCTCTCTCTGGTCCCTCTCCCTGGTCTATATCTGGTCTCTCTCTTTCACTCTAGTCTCTCTCTCTGGTCCCTCTCCCTGGTCTATATCTGGTCTCTCTCTTTCACTCTAGTCTCTCTCTCTGGTCCCTCTCCCTGGTCTATATCTGGTCTCTCTCTTTCACTCTAGTCTCTCTCTGGTCCCTCTCCCTGGTCTATATCTGGTCTCTCTCTTTCACTCTAGTCTCTCTCTCTGGTCCCTCTCCCTGGTCTATATCTGGTCTCTCTCTTTCACTCTAGTCTCTCTCTCTGGTCCCTCTCCCTGGTCTATATCTGGTCTCTCTC